TAGATTGCTTGGTTCATAAACTCAAGAATTTGAGTCTATGCCCCTTCTTATTTCTTTAATCCAGAGGACCAGGTATGAGTGTGCTAACATGGCTTCTTGTCAGTGCTGTCTGCCTGACCCATTCACCCATCCTCAGACCGAAGACAGTCTGCCTTCCCTGAGTATAGAGATGGGGATTCTGGGGTCCAATCTCTACTGAAAGAGGACAGGACAAGTCAAGGATAAGGCACTAACTCCTCCCTCCCTGGATGGGTAGTCTTAGTCACTTCACCTCCCTGGCCTCAGTTCCTGCCTCTTTCAAGGGCTGCTTTAGAGGTCTTCTAACTTGTAAAGTACTGCACTGTCCATCTGCTTTTCTAAATACCTCTGTGGTGCATTTTGTGGTTGTCTGTTGCCTAAACTATTACCAAGATTCTCCCCTTGTCCTAAACACCTATTTCCACAAGACTGTGGAAGCAAGCCCTCTCTCACACAGTTGGAGCAACCAACTATCTACAGAACAGGTTGTAACCACTACAAGAAAAGCTTTGAGGGACGGTTCATTTCAGCATTGAAACAGAAAGAATCTGGTCCTTGAAACCAAAACCTCCTTAGTTATGCTGGAGTTTGCCTGAAGAAATGGAGAAATTGGAGGAAGAGAATGGAAGGAAGGCAGAGGGAAAACACGTGCAAGGGATCTACAATGGTGGATGACCAAAATAATCAGATCCCAAATCACACAGGGAAAACCGAAGAGCTGCATTTCAACCACAATTGAGATAAAAACAAAACAAAAACTATAAACAGGAACAGGCCCTAAATTAATACTGAGATTCCTGGTAGCCAAGGCAAAAACAGTTTTTGCCCTAGAACATGAGACTATAAGGAAGCCAATTATTCTCCAAGCCTTAGAAGAGGACCAGAATATGCTTTATCACTTTTATCTCTAGTCCCCAAAGAATTGGCTCTAGTTTCACTCAAGTACCACTATTTATTTGGTCCCCAAAGCCAAGGTAAAAATAAATACCTACTCCTTCCTGCCCTGCTACCAAACCCAGGTGCCTCCCCCGGGTTCAGGGTAATTCACTACCCCAGTGTATAATTCCCAAAAGCCAGACCTGCATTGCAGCATGAAGTGTGAATTCTCTCATGGAAAAAAATCTTCATTCCCCAGACAAGCTCCAGTCATCTCCTACCACTTCAGGGTTGCTGTTGGCATCATCTCTGAGGCCATGGAGTGTGCAAAGAGATTAGTGGGGATGGACCAGCAGTCATTTCATGCATTATGGTAGTTGTCCTTCTGTCCTTCAGGGTCAGATCGGTATCGGGAGAGCCGAGATGCCACTCGCCTGAGTGGCCGGGACCCTTCTTCATGGACGGTGGAGGATGTGATGCAGTTTGTCCGGGAAGCAGATCCTCAGCTTGGACCCCATGTTGACCTCTTCCGGAAACACGTAGGTGTCTGACCTCCTGTGTGTGTGGCAATCTCTCAATCTTAGAGGGCCTGGCTATCTGTTGTGTCCATTGAAACAACATAAATAATGCCATCTCAAGCAGACACCTTTGGGCACTGTGTTTACCTCGCTCTCTTAGTACAGGCTCTCACTGAGCCAGATTCCTGCTGGTTTGTGGTCTGGGCTCAGTTCTAGGTTACAGAGGTCCATCTATGTCTCCCAAGGGTGCTTTACCCCATCTGCTTTGGTGTAAGATTCAAGGATTTCAGCCCAAGTTAAAGAATCCTTCACAAGTAGCCTCTGCCTCCTTCTCACCAGTCCCCCTCCTCTGCTGACCTATCTGTGAGCCCAGTGCTCCCTTCAAGAGACCATTCTGTCCCATGGCTAGGCATTGCTCTTGCCCTCCTGCTGACCACACCTCAACTTCAGGGTTCAAACCCATTTCCCTGCCTCTGTGCTGCTTGGTGCCATCTTCCTGTGGTTACAAAGTCTGTCCCTCCACCCCACCCCACCCCGTCATCACTGACAGTGGAAATCTTTTACATAGGTGGATTTGAAAGGGCTTCAAAGCAGGCTTAAGGTCACCACTGCCCCCAAAAGGCCCACTTTGGGGTCAGTGTGCAGTACATCTTGAGGGCAGATGTCAACACAGCCTGCACACTCACTGCAAGGCTCCTCAGAGGGTTAGCACAGGAAAGCAGCAGAGAAAAGCAAGGTGGGAGGACATGTCCTAAGTGCTCAGAATGCCAGGGGAACGGGCTGGCAGGCTTCAGGATCCCAGCAGCCTGACTGCACTGTGTACCCTCACTGCTCTGGGTGCTCTGATGGCACCCGAGGCAGTCAGACCAACCAGGCATCTGATGGCTCCTCCCCACCCCCAGGAGATCGATGGCAAGGCCCTGCTCCTGCTGCGCAGTGACATGATGATGAAGTACATGGGCCTGAAGCTGGGGCCCGCCCTCAAGCTCTCCTTTCACATTGACCGGCTGAAGCAGGGCAAGTTCTGAACAGCAGGCATTCTTCTCCCCGGAAGCCACCAGCCAGCTCCCAGGCACCTCTGTAGGGCTCTGGGTGACCTCAGGACTCCAGGAGGCTGGAGAACCACCATTGCTACCCTTCCTGCCATGATGTGTCCTTCCATGAAGGACTGAGGAGGGAAGAATGTGGGTCCAGGGCTGGTGCTGCTCTTCCCCCCTTAGCCTGCTGTGGCTCCTCCCAGGCCCTTGTATTTATTTCTCAAGGCTAGCCAAGCCTCTCACGGGAAGTTTAGACTGAGCACCTTGCAAAGAGATGGAGGAAGAGGCCAACTCTAGGGCCTGGAAAGGCCCTGGAACCCAGGCCCCTTACCACCTCCTGGGCTTGGTATAGTGTCCATGGCCCCAGCCATGCCTTCTCACCAGATCCCCAGACTCTGAACTTATGGTGCAGACCTTTCTAAAAAGATCTTTTCTTGTTGCTAATTTATTGCTTCTGGCACTTGGACTTAATGCTTTTCTTGCACCAGACATTTTTGGGAAGAAGGAGTCCACCCTCTGTGGTTCAGAGAGGGCCTCTCCAGAGAAGTATGGCCCTGTTTCAGAGGACAGCTGCCTTAGGGCTTTCTCTGTGGGATGGACAGAGAGGTATATGGCTCACTGGGCATGGAGAGGTGAGGCTCCCTCTTCCTACACCAGGCCCTCTGTAGCCCCAGGCTCTATCTCTGATGGAGTTTTCCCACCACCCAGCCCATCACAGCTCCCTGCCCTGGTCAGAATTGCTGCAAAAGATGGGGCCTAATGCCTTGAGGCCGAGGCCCCTGCGGTGGGAGGGAGGGCCTCCAGGCAGGGGGTTTGCTCTCTGCCAGCGCCTGTGCTTCCTCCTAAGCACGGCAGCAGCACTGGTGCCCCCACTGCCACCTGAGCTATTTTATGTCCGTTTGTTTATAAATAAAAAACAGTACAAATGCCTGTGTCTCTTTAGCCAACTGGCATCCATATTACTCAGCAAGAAGGTTGTCCCTTCACTTAACTTAGTCTGTGTTCACACATGTAAAACAAGGAGCCTTCACCAGAATATCCCTAGGAACTCTTCTAGTCCCAGTCTCAGGTGCCCACAGCACCCAGCACCTTGCAGGACCAGTCTCTGCCCAGGCTGCTTGCCTTTGTTGGTTAGACAGCACTGCAGCTTCATCAAGCCAGAAGCCTCAGTAGGCTGCTTTATCCTCCTCCTTGTGAGTGAGGTGTGAAGAGAGGTAGTACAAGCCTTCATGGTCCCCATTGCACTGACCAGGGTCACACAGCCTGTTGGCTTACAATGGGAACAGGTTTACAGGAGGTGGAGAAGGCTGTCTGGAGCCACAGTATAGGACAGGACAACCTGAGACAACATCAGGGAGCACACTGAGCTTCACTGGGTGACTCAAGAGCTATGGGACTGCTGGGGTGAGAGATTTAGCACCTGCCTGGACTTCATAGAGCCTCATTCAGCCACCCTATGGGGCTGGGCCTCTTCCTTTATGTCTGTACACCATTGTCTTATTTCTCTCAAGTTCCCTGCCCAAGCGTCTGCCTCCAATCCTACATGCAACAAAAGTTCAGGCATGCCTTCAAAATGGCCCACAGGAAGGCAAACAGCCACTTGAGTGGAGGTCTCCCCCTTGCTCCCAGTAGTAAGGGCTACTAGGAGTAGAGAGTGTGTAAGGAATTCTTTACCTGAGAGCCATCAAGAAGGCTCAGTCAGTAAAGGTGTTTCTGTGCAAGTATTGAGACCTGCATTTGGTCCCCGAAACTCACAGGAGGAAGGAGAGAGCCAGTTCCAGAGTTGTCCTCTGACCTTCACATGTGTGCCATGACATGTGCTCCCTCCCCCAACAGCACACACAGTAATAAATCACTTTTTTAATAATGATAAAAGGTACTTGGGGCTGGAGAAATGGCTCTAGCAGTTAAGAGCACTGGCTGCTCTTTAAAAGGATCCAGGTTCAATTCCCAGCACCTACACAGGAGTTCACAACTATCTGTAACTCCCATTCCAGGAGGATCTGACACCCTCATACAGGAAAAGGGGGAAAAAAAAATTACCTAAGCTGAGTCCTGCCCTCAAGGAACTGGCCTTGTTGGCAGAGGCTACATGTCACCCGAGCCTAGCTGGTTTTCAGTCCCTTCTAGATAATCTCTGACAAGAAATGTCAATGTTTGGCAGGGAAAGTGCTCCTGTATCAAGGGAGCCTGGACCCCACCCTGTTCATTTTGGTTCATCCTGGGAGCAATGAGGTCCTGCCAGCACTCAGTGGGGCTTAGGGTTGGAGATCAAGGAGGTGGACACTTTAGACAGCAGAGCCAAAAAAGTAGTAACTAGTGGGTTGTGTGAGTGCTGGGATCCGAAGAGGTGAAACAGGGAAGCAGCTGCTGCAAGGACCACCGTGGTCAAGCTGTCTGCTTAGTGTCTAGCAGAGCCTGTGGTAGTTGAGGACCATCCTTGCTCTGCATCCCCCAACCCTGCTTGTTGCCTGCTCTTGAACCAGAAGGCATTGTTGGCCTTCGTGAGATCACAGAGGCTGGTGTGCAAGCCCCACCCACTTCCTAGACCTTGGTTCTGTCTGCCTCCATGCCAAGTCCTAAGTATCCTGGGCCATGGAGCTGTGGAAGCTCAGAGCTAGCATCTCCCATGCCCGCACAGGAGCTAGCAGGACATGAAGATCATAGGCCTCCTCTTCCCTCCTCTTCCTGCTTGCCCTGAATGCCCCCACTGCAGCTGTGGTGGCTCTCAGACACTGACCACCTCAAGAATCCAATCTGGAATGATGCAAGCTGGTGGTACCTGCCACTCGAGTTGGAGGCTGGGGGCATGGGGGTGAGTGGAGGGCCTATGGCACCACTTGTAAATGAGCTCCCAAGCCTAGGGTGGCATGCAACTAAGTTCTAGTTCCTGAGGCACCTCAAATTGAGCTTGTTTGTATTTGGTTTTCCAAGGATCTCTTCGTAGTCCTGGCTGTCCTGGAACTAGCTCTGTAGACCAGGCTAGCCTAGAACTCAGAGATCCTCCTGCCTCTGCCTTCCAAGCTTCCAAGGGATTAAAGGTGTGTGCCAGCACTGCCTGGCTTCAAGTTTTATGTGTATATGCAAAGGCCCTTTTTACAAGGAGAGACTATAACTGTTGTCACTGTGTCAAAACCCCAAGAACCTGCCAACCCAATCCCAGTGACCCATACTAGCTTCCCGGCAGGTTTTAGAGTAGATGAGAGAGACAGTGATGGGGGAGTGCAGAAGATGGCCTGAGAGTTTGGAACAATGGTCTCTTCTCTGAGGCCCACTATAACCTCCTTGCAAGGGCCCAGATACTTTAAGAACCTTCTAGATGTGAGAATTCCCCAGTGACAGCTAGGAGGCCCAACACAGAGGTTGAGGAGTCATGACAAGGGAGGTACTAGAGAGTATGGAGGACTGAAAGATCCCACCTAACCCTCCAGACAAGTCCCTTATCTACCACTCCCAAGGCCCAAAGCCCAGGCTCAGGCCTGTAGGGTTCTTTCCTGGGCACCAAGGGGGAGTTACTGGCCCTCTGCCCTCTTTTCTTTCTGACCCTGCCTAGCCTCTGCCAGTCTAGAAGCCTCCAGAAGCCTCAGCACCTGTGAGTCCATTGGGAAGACCTGGCCAGTCGAAGAGCCAGGCCCAGGAAGAGCATTCAGCAGTGAGGACTACCAAAATCCCTTCTGAGGAAGACCTCCATGACCCTCAGGAAGAAGTCAGCACAGACACAGATGTGGGAGTCCACTGTGGAGTCCCAGGGCAAGCAGCTCCTGCCAGAGCTGCCTCTAAAGGAATCCTCCTCACACGAGGACTCTGGCCTCAAGGCAGTTCCCAGCACACATACTCTTTATGTGGGCCACCTGAACCCCCAGTTCTCTGTTCCTGTGCTTGCCTGCCTGCTAAGAGACACCCTAGAGCGGCTGGAACTTCCAGTGGCCCGTGAACACATTGAGGTAGTGAGGCGGCCACGAAACACTTATGCACTGGTACGGGTGGCTGCCCCCAAGGATGTCCTGGCCTCACTCCCCTGGCGCCTGCAGATGGCCTTGGAGGAGCAGCTAATCCTCAAAGAGCTCACAGCCCGTGGCAAGGAGCTGGTGTTGAGTGAGGGCTTCGAGTCCCTAAGCCACAGGGAGGTAAGTGCGCCCTGAAAGGCATGCAAAGAAAAAGACTAGTGTGAATGGCATGAGGAAATGCACACCCTGGGTATGTGACTCAAAGGAACGCCCCTCTTCTCAGAGGGAGACAATACAGTCAGGTTTGGAAGGCCCAGGACATACCAAGTCCTGATTTTTCTCCTTGGCCCTCATTTGTTCGGTTGACAAACACCAATACCTATATTGTACCAGAAGCAAGGCTGATGCATACAACCTATGCCATCTTGTCAAGACGTCTCCAAGAGCAGAACTAACTCTGCCAGTCCCAAAGTTGGAGTGGCTGTGGGAGAACAGGCAAGCCCTCACTTCCCACTGGGGACAAATTTATGGGGGAAATCCAAGCTTAGGACTTAGAGAGTGCAGAAGGCACTCCAAGATAAGATGTTCAGGTAGCGATGTAGGACAGGCTGTTTGGGGTCTCTGGAGCTGGGTCTGGAGGCCACAGAGGTAGCTAAGGAAGAAGCTGGGCCTGAGGGTAGGTCCAGATTACTACAGCTGTAATGATTTATAGCATAGCAGGGTCCTGGCCAGTTTTGTTAGGGCTGAAAGCTTATGCTACCAATGTCCCTGATCTTCTGTCCAGAGGGCAAGCCCATGTGATACCTTTGATGCATGTGTACCTGCCTCTGTGTCAGGTCCATTACGTTTCTGAGGCTAAGTTCATCTTCTCTGGCAAGTTGCTGGGCTGCTAGCTTCTGTCCATCTCCACTACCAGCCCAGCTGAGTCTCCAGCCCTGTAGAGATGAAGGCTGCTGGGAAATGGGAGTGGCCCTTGGATTGGTATTTAAGCTACTGAGAGGATGGGAAGAGGAAGAAACAAAACGCCAGAGACCTAGGAACCACCGAGGGATTTAGGCAGGGCAGAAGAAAGCTAAGATTCAAGGGCCAGGAAGTAACTGGCAGACATTCCACTGAGAGCAAAGAGGGTAGGGTCCCTCAGTTCAGAGACCTGCAGCTCCGCCCAGAGGAATGCAGGGTAACATGATGCATCCTGGGAACATCTAGGCCTATTACACACTCCAACTGGAAAAAAGAATGGCCCATAGGTGTGTTGTCTCCCAGCTCCAGAAGGCAATCCCTTTACCCACCCAGACATCCTACAACAGGTGCCAAGGAAGATCCCAACCCAAGAGCTGGCTTGGGCCCTGGCTTTTGCACACATGCAGAATTGGGCCCTCAGCCTGGGAGTGTGATGGGGGACTGGCAGTCTCTTGGGTTAGGGCTCCCTGCCTGTCTTTGCCTATACACCACTCTTGATCCCCCACCCCAGCAGGATGACAGCGGCCCAAGCCCGAGCCCTAGTCCTGGCCCCAGCCCAGGCTTCAGGCGCCAGCAGCTGCCCCAACTGCCAGACCCTTCCCCTAACTGGGGCTGGGCTGGGCGTCGGCAGATCTCTCACAACCGACCCAGTGGCGTGCGATCTGACAGTGCCATTGTGCACCAGGAGATAGTGGGTCAGGAGCAGCTATTCCAGGGTGCTTTCCTTGGCAGCGAGACGCGGAATGTAGAGTTTAAGCGAGGCAGCGGTGAGTACCTGAGCCTGGCTTTCAAGCACCATGTACGTCGCTACGTGTGTGCCTTTCTCAACAGTGAGGGTGGCAGCCTGCTGGTAGGTGTCGAGGACAGTGGCCTGGTACAGGGCATTCACTGTAGCCACCGTGATGAGGACCGTACACGCCTGCTGGTAGACTCCATCCTGCAGGGCTTCAAACCCCAGGTCTTCCCTAATGCGTACACCCTCACCTTCATCCCCGTCATAAGCACTTCCAAGACCAACATACCTCTCAAGGTGAGCTACTGGTATATGTTGTCACTCAGGACAGTGGGACTGCCTTGTGACATTGCTCAATGGCCTAGGGGTGGGTAGCAGTGAGCCCACCAGGCTTCTGGGAGCTAAAGTGTGGGGCTACCCAAGTGGAACTGGGGCTGCCACCATCAAGTGTGGCACTCTCTGAGCTGCCATTGCCCCTGCTAAGGTACTCCGTCTGACTGTGCACACCCCCAAGGCCCAGGGTGAGCCACAGCTATATGAGACAGACCAGGGGGAAGTATTCCTACGGCGTGATGGAAGCATCCAGGGCCCACTGTCTGTTGGTGCCATCCAGGACTGGTGCAGGCAGGTGAGGAGGCTCTGGCCAAGGTGAGCTAGAGTCAAGTTGACTCAGACCCAGACCCCTCCAACCATTCACCCCAAGATGATGGGCAAGCCTGGAGAAGGGAGGACTTTGATAGAAGGAACTCTGCCTCTTCCCAAATTTCACACCTCATCAGCCAGAGTCCCAGCAGTCATTTTAAAACCTGTACCCCATCACAAAGTACACAGCCCCACCCACCTTGCCTCAGCAGTTCAGTCATTATGCTGTTGAAGGGCCAGGGAATCAGGGAGATCAGACTACTGAGGTGTTATAAGGAAATAACAAGAAGTATGCACTGTACCTGGTGAGGGGATGGGGCAGGGCTGGCTGGACTGAGTCCCAAGAAGTCTTTTCTATGATGGAACCACCAGATGGATGGTAGAAGGGCAAGGGGCTGCTGACATTAGAGACATGGTCAGGGTGGTGATCAGGTCCCTTGCCAGTCCTTGGGACGCTGCAAAGGTGACTCCATCCCAGTAGTTACAGGCAACTCCAAGACCCTTGGTCAGAGGCAGCAGCATGATCAGGGCCCCCAGGTTATATGGCCCACACCAGGAAAGAGGATGGCCTGGGACAATGGCAGCCTGATATCCACTGCCACACTGTCCTCTCAGAAATGGACAATGGAGCTGGGCAAGCTGGAGGAGAAGGTGAAGGTGCTGACGGTGGAAAAGGAGCAGCTGAGCCAGCAGCTGAGGCAGCGCCGGTCCCTGTCCTGCAGCTGCTGTGTCCTGTGAGAATGAGGAAGATGTGGGCTAAGGCCTGGAATAAACATGCATGTGCTACTGCACCTCTCCTTCAGCATTGCATGTGCAGCAGAGCAGGCTGATAAACAGCTCTTGGCACAGCCCCAAGGAGCCCTGCTTTTAGAAAACTTGGCTAGTCATTCTAGAACTGAGCTCCAAGGGACTGTAACTCGAATCCCAACCAAATGCACCCTTTACCACTTTAGCAGGCTAGGAAATTTGTCAACTTGGAAAGGCCACTTGCAGCTAGCAAGACCTATTAGCTAACTCATGAGAGGGCATGGGCCACCCTGCAGCTCTTACCCCTAACTTGCTTGTCATTGCTCCTTATACATTGCAGACACAAGAACGCTTAGTTATGTCTACTAACACACTTGGTCAGCCAGCCAGAGGCTGCTGCGTCACAAGTCTCATGCCCAGCCCTCATCTGCTCAGGAGGCAGAGCCCATTCTGAGATACCACAGCACTGCAGCCACTCAGCACCCACTACAGCTCTGCCCTAAGACTCGGTCAGCACTTGGGGCAACGGTGCTTACCTCTGTGCCTCAGTCTTGTCACCAGTGAGACAGTGACAGTGGGCAAGGGGCATTTTCATCACCATCATGTAGTACCTGGTATCTGCTGGCTGTGGCAGAACAGCCATTAACAGGAGTCTAGCCACAGGGTTACTGCCTTCCCACTAACTCGCACTAAATCCAAAGCTTGATCCTGCCCCCTTGCCTGTCCACACCCATTTCATCAAAAGAAAGCCACCTGTGCTAGCTCCTCCTGCTTCCCCTTACACCATCCATGCATGCAGCAGCAACCACCCCTCTACATTGGGTGTTCCCCTGCCTAGAACCTCTTCTCTCAGAGCTGCAGAACTTAGCTTCCCCTCCAGGCTGGCCTTGGACTTACGGCACTCCTTTTGCTTCCATACACCCGGCACCCCTGCCACTGCCAAGGTGCTGGGATTACAGGAAGGAGCAACTATGTTCAGCTTACATCCCCCCCACACACACACACACATACACACACACAGCAATGCCATAGTTTCTCTCACTAAAGTACATACTCCAAGTAAGGGTTATGATACGGTCTGTATTCAGAACATACACAGGCATGTGGTAGGTTCTTAGTAATCCCTAATGACATAATCAAGGATAATCTTAAATTTGGGCTCTTGGTTACCAGATAAAGTACTGACAAATAGCATTTCATAAGACAAGAATTCCCATGAAAGTATACAGTTACTGGCTCTCCCTTTCTTGAGGTCCTTAGCTACATTCAGAGTAGGCACTAAAGAGGAAAGCACTGTTGAGTTGTATCCTCTTTGATACCTGTGCACATACACAAATTTTGAAAATTCAGTTCCCATGCCCCACTCACCAGCTACTGGACACTCCCTGGACCACTCACCACTCAAGACCAGACTTGCCCAAGTATCAAACAGGATACATTCTATGCCAGGACTCACAATGCTGCCAGGGACCCAACATGATCATAAAAGCTCAAGACAGATAACCAGATTCCATTTACCCACACTTTGATGTACACAGGACTACAAAGAATGCACGGCTGAGCCAGAATTGTGACTCAGTGGTAGAGCATTTCACTTACTAGACTGAATAAAGCCACAGGTTCTAGCCCCAGGATAGTCAAATGAATGTAAAGATAATGTTATTGCTTGAGAAGGCAGAGAATGTTTCTGGGTATCACCAACTCATGTGCCAAGCACCATGCTAGATTTTAGTCCAGGTAGCAGCATCCTCAGAAGTACTTTCTCTGGAAGCTGGTTTCTGCTAAGGCAGGCAGTCACAGAGAACACAGCTGCTACCTGCCCTTGTCCCCCAGGTCTAAAGTGAGCACACTAAGGACAAAAGCCTAGCAGGTTTCCTCCGCTAGGGAGAAGCCTCTGAGCCCCAGTAGTCATTGGACATGAAGGGCTGCCTTCCAGCATCATCCAGGATAAACTATGGGGAGCCATGTGGGGATTCCTTTTGCTAACAGGTTATAAGGGTAGCTGGCATGTGGCAACTGGTCAATAGTGAGGCCATCTTCCAAACCACTCCACACCCAGCCAAACCCTCACTACTGCAGTAACAGCAGTGGCCCCTCTGGGACACACTGCCTCAGCATGGGTAATGATGAGAACACTGGGTGGGGAAGTTAGAAGTAGAATCAAACTCAAGCAGGATCTATACAGAAGTGAACATGTGAGCTCACTGAGAAATAAGGGAAAGACTGGATGCTTTTGATCAAGCCTCAAAGATGACAGTGGCATTGGACTAGGGAAAGAGAGGGGAGTCTGAGGTAGGAGCTGGGTTAACTGGTGAGACACATATTCCTCCTCAAGGCTCCGTGTCTCAACTTGTAGCAAGTCAAGAATGTTACCACCTATACATTGCCAGGCCTATAGCCTGAGAGAGTGAATGCTAATGTCACCATCACCAACAATTGACTTTGAAAAGAATCCTGTCCCTGTAACCTTAAACTTCTGAGCCTCAACTCTAGTAGCACACAGAAGCAATTGGCTCTTAATTCCTTGGCACATGATATGTATGACAAACAAGCCTTGCTGAGTAATTCTGGTTGCTAAGAAGGCTTGAAGCTTGATTGATGCTTAGGAGCAGCCCAGCATTGAAGCTCAGTGCCCATGAAAAAGCACCCCAGTGAGTGACAGAATGAGAACACACACCAATGGTTCTTTCTACATTATTTATTTATTAACTTAGGAGCAAACACTGAGCCAGCCACCATAGTGTGGGCATGTGGCCATGCCCATTGCTGTGTCAAATTAAGAAAATAACTTTTCAAATTGCATTTCAACTGCAATGACATGTTCTGGAAGAAAAAGGTACCCCCAAATCAATGCTGCATACACAAGAGGGCTTCAGAACTAGTTTCCAAGATTCCTTGTTTCTTGACCCCTTGATACAAGGAGTGTTTTCAGCCCCAAGAACAGGAAGTGCAGCCAGAGCCCCAGGGTTTTTATGTGACACTTCATAGACCTTGTCTGATGTACCAAAGAACCAAACATCCCTCTGGATGTCCAGGGCCAACCACAGCTGGCATCAAGAGTTCCCAACAACTCAGCAGCACTGAGATTTCAGCAATACCCAGTTAGCAAGCCAGGACTGAAGTACTGGCACCCCAGGGAAATAACAGCAATGCACTTGGATGCCTCCAGTAGCTGGAAAAATGAGATTGATGGCCTTCAACCAGCCGCTGGCCACCATCAGGTCACATCCAGAGTCCTACTTCCCATGTCAGAAACAAACTGCAAAGGAACTGTCTCACAAACAGGTATGTTGCAGGATCCAATATAAATGATAGGACATGCAAGTGACAAAGTTTCCAAATACCTTTTCCCCATAATAAAATAATCTTAATAAAAACATAATTTAAAGGAAGTGTCAAAAGCAGAGTGTAAAATCATAGTTGTAAACTATCAGGTCAAAGGCTTTCTTGAAGAATCATCCTGTTTAAAAAAAAAAAAAGGCTAGAATTACATGTTTATTAGAGAAGTGTCAAAACTTGGTCAGCGGCCAGCCATCACAGGCGTTCCTATGGGAACTGCAGAAGCCTACATTTGCAATTCCACAGAACCACGCAACACCAAGGCCCGAGCAACCTCTATGCTGTGCTCAGCCAGATGCAAGCACTCTGTCCATGGCAGCAGCCTGTTTCAAAGCTGCTGAGGAGCAGGCAATTCCCAATGACTGGCATGTCTCTGTCTGTCTGTGTGTGCACACGCACGCTGTGCATATGCTTCTATGTGAAGAACAGAGGTTGACGAGTGTCTTCCTGTCACTATCAGCTTACTTTTTGAGACAATTTCTCAGACTCTACAGCTCACCGATACAGCTCACTGGCTGGCCAGTGAGCTCTTAGAAACAGTCGTGTGTTACCACTTTTTCTTTTAATAAACCTTAAAAGTGTCACTTACCAGGTCAGTCCTGATTTATTGATGGAAACTTCAGCTCTGTGATTTCAGAATCGGGGGAGCTGCTCCCGCTTCTGTCACTGTAAGTATCCCTGTGGAATGAATTCAGAAGGGTTACTCATCTCCCAACAAACACTCATTTCCCCATCTTTGTATACAGCAGTGTGTGTCCACACATGACAGGCTGTGGAAGAATTTCCTTCCTCTAATTCCAAGATATACACCCCTGCTCCTGAATACTTCAGTACTGATATACTAGTCACCTACTCAGAGAAACCAGTTCCAGATAAAAGTAATCAGGCATAAGCTCATTTGGTCTTGACCCACTTGCCATGGACAGGATATACCCAGGAGCATTACCAGACCCAGAAACTAGAGATGAGGCCTGGCCAGTAAGAACAGGAGAAGCGTAGCAAAACCCCAGGGAAAGGATGGGAACTTCACCTACACAAGGACCAGGCCTGCCACCTGGCTTTTTCTTAGGACTGTGTAGAGCCTCACTGTGATTAGTATCCCCTACCTGGGTGAGAGCCGGCAACCTTTCTGTAGGTAGTGTGGGAGCCTCCCAACAGAGGCCAGAAGGAGGCCAAAGTAGGGCGGGGAGGGCTTTATAGGCCGTGACAGGAACTCGGGGTGGTACTGTACCCCAATAAAGAATGGGTGATCTGCAACACAAATTCAGAAGGAACAGTTAGTATTCTGTGCATCCAATGATGAGACAAACAAACCCTAAGAGTGTTTGAAAGTAACTATCACCCAGTTTTGGGTAAAAGGAACTCCAAAGCAGGAGTGAGCTGAGCTGACACTTTGCTCAACACTGTATACCTCATGGCTGAGGCTCCTGCTCTCTCTAGAGTCCCATCTGAGTATCCTATGACTTGCACAGGCTGAGCCCCACAGTTCACATGAAAGCTGAAAGGGATTTAGCACAAGTGCAGCTCTTCATGCTGTGGGAAGAACCAAGGCCAGGGCTATATGGCTGTTATGGAAGCCATAGTTAAGGATGCATCTCCCATTTCTAGAGCTGTGTCAGAAGCTGCGCCCCAGACACTGCTGCCTCATCGTCAGTAGCAAGAGCTTTGTTTTTCTTGAGACAAGGTCTAGCTCTAGCCCCAGCTG